ATGACAATCTGAAAGCCAAATACACAGGATGGGTATATTTAAAAAACAAAACTGGTAATATATACAATTCTCAAACAAACACTTTTAACTTAACATCCGAGGAGTGGGATGATTTTAAGAAGGTACATATATTAATATATATAAAACATTTAAGTTTGAAGTTCCCTAATATTCTTATACTTTTTTTTTGTTACATTTGGGTTTAGGGGCATCCGAAGGCTGCTTCATTGAGAACAATTCCATTGCCTTTTCCAGATCTTTGTGCACGTCTTTTTGATGGAAATAGTGTCACTGGTAATTTTAGGAGTTACTCAACCCAGTCATCATCAGTAGCTGGAGCATCCTCTTGTCGTGTTCCACCACTTCAGATTACCGCCACCCCTTTTCATGCAATAGATGATGATGGTGATGACACTTCCCATCGTGAGCCACCACCTTTTGCTGCTTCACCTTCTGCTGCTTCACCTTCTGCTGCTTCACCATATACTGCTTCACCATCTGGTAACCCCAACAAAAGGGCTAAACCCTCAACTCCTATACCTCCTAGTGCCTCACCGTCTGCTTCTTCACCTGATGGAACTTCTATTACTGCTGACGATTTAGCATTTGAAATGAAAAAAGCTCTGCAAAGTTTGACTAAAGGGTATACAATTCCTCAATGTTTAGAGAAGTTAGAGGTGCTTCAATTAGGCCCTACATATCCTTTACGCTTTGTTGCATATCATATTTTTGGAGGGACCATGAACATGAGAGAGATGTGGATGCATTTGCTCGATATTCCCGAGATATTACGAGGATGGCTTGAGATGACGCGTACAAGTTTAGGAGTGTTGAAGGATGGGAAGATTGTCCGATGATTTTTCTAGTGTTGAAACTATTTGTTAGGTCTTATTTGCTTTTGTTGGAACTATTTTTTGTTATTTTGCTACTTGGAATATGGTTTATCTAATGTTTTGATAGTACTTGTAATATGGTTTATGTAATTTTTATTTGCTACTTGAAATATAGTTTATGTAATTTTTTTTTGCTACTTGAAATATGATTTTTGTAATGTTTATTTGCTACTTGAAATATGATTAATGTAATGTTTTTTTTTTAAGTTCTACTTTGTTTATTTTAGGTTTATAATGGATCACAATCAAAAGTTACTTCTCGTCATTCTTATGTACCTGTACATCCGTTATTTTTGGAAGAGGGGTGTGAAACGATTGCGGGATAATGATTCGGAAATGACGGGACATGAATACACATTGGAGTTATTACATCGTAATCGTTTACAATGTGTTGAAGTACTACGTATGTCCCGTGACTCTTTTGTACGACTATGTGCTCATTTTAGAGCAAATTACTCATTAAAGGACAGCAAACATGTATCGGTTGAGGAAAAGATGGCTATGTTTTTTATGATGATCGGCCATAATCAACGTTACGTGATTATCAAGCGGAGATTTCAACACTCGAAGCAAACAGTTCATAAATTGTTTTATGAAGTGTTGGAAAAAATGATGCTTTCGCACAAGATGTTATAGTACCAACTTCTTTTAATCCGAATCCAAACATTCCAGGACATAATAGGAGGCTACGACGGGTTTTCAAAGGGGCGGTTGGTGCACTTGATGGCACTTTGATACATGCTGTTGTCCCTGCTAAGAAACAAGACTTATATAGAAGTAGGGGAAAGGGAGATTGCTACCAAAACGTATTGGCAATTTGTGACTTCAACATGATGTTTACATTTGTTGTGGCTGGTGGGAAGGGGTAACGCATGACTCTAGAATATTATCAGAAGCAGTAGCCGATCCACAAGCATCATTCCCGTTTCCACCACCAGGTAAGTTTTTGTTTTTTTAAATATTTTTATCTTACTTTGAAAATTGATTAGTGTTTTTCATTTTTTACAGACAAATATTATCTTTGTGATGCCGCGTATGCACACACTCGAGGATTTATGGCCCCTTATCGTAATGTGAGGTATTGGCTTGGAGATTTTCGTCAACGACGTGCGTTGACCAATAAAGAAAAATTTAACCACGGACATGCAAAACTTCAGAATGTCATTGAGCGTGTGCTTTTGGTGTTTTGAAAGCACGCTTCCCTATATTGAAGAGGATGGCACCATTTCCGTTTGTGACACAAAGAAACATTGTCATGGCATGTTTTGCGCTTCATAATTTTTTATAAGGAGAGAAGGACTGAGTGATGAGTATTTCGCACGATACGATGAACCCAATGTCCTGTTTCGAAATAACAATGTTCCCGTTGAGGATGGTGAAGACGAGATTCCAACACATGGTACTGCAGCAGACCGTGAATATATGACTCAGTTAAGGGATGAAATTGCTGATCAGTTGATGCACAATATAGATTGAATTGTTTTAAATGAAATTGTTATTGTAAAACCTAATTTTTTTTATTGTATGACTAATTTAGTTGCATGAATTTTATTTTCAATGTTATAAGACTATTATTATTAAAATTTTAGTGTTGAAAAATCATTTTAAGTTTGTAAAATCATTTTATTTAAAATTCAGTTTATTTCAATAGCTTGCAGACGTTAAAAAACAAACAGTCTTCTTATTGCAGACTGCAGACGTTTGGTCCACCTCTTCTGCTGCAGAGGCTTGCAGATGTGGTCCGCAGACTGCAGACATTTTGGCTTCAGAAAAACAAACATCACCTTACCGTTGTAGGGTTGGATCTTTTATTCGAAAGATTAATTAAGTTTTGTTGCATGTAATTGTATTCATGAAGTAGTTAGCTGATATTAGTAGGGGTTATTCAGCAGCTGATGGCAGAGTGAGGTGGGAATCCTAGGAGAGTCTAGGAAGCGCCTTAGAGGAAATGGTGCGTTGTTTAGCAGCGTATATTCATTTGAGAGCGAGTATATGTGACTGGATCAGACGATATTGGACATGAGTAATGTTTATCAAATATATAATAATACAATAAAAAGTAATCTAATAAAAAGAAATTAAAAAATAATTAATGTATAATAATTGAATAAAATTAAAAATAAGAGATGCAAAAATAGTCATTCTAGTTTGGTTGCAGAAATGGTCTCTAAGAGTAAAATTGTCAGTTTAAAAAGTTAATAGCAAAACTGTTAAATTTAATATTTTTTGACAAAAAACACATTATGTATCCAAAATTGAACCACTTTTGCATCAAAAAACATTTTTGGACAACAACCACATAATTTTGACAACCACAATGACCATTTTTGCAATTTTGTTTCATCAAAATGTCGACTTCACAAAGATTTTTTTGAAAAACAAGTGTATCGATAAAGGAAATCGGAAAACACAAGAAATCATTCGATATAACTTGCGATGAAATAAAAAAAAACATATTGAAATGTATAAAATATTATGATGATGATCGTGTTAGCCATAATCCAAAAATGAAAACAAAAAACCTCTAAAAAAGAAACGAAAATTTTCAGAAATTAGGTTTTTCCACATACCTCTTCTTCGATTTCTCAAATCTTTGAATCAAATTGCACGTAATCTATGTTGTTTCGTGTACATTCTTCAGAATTTATCTAAGAATTGATTTGTATGGAATGCTAGCAGTGATTTTGATTGATCCGTATCGGAGGAGAGAATTGGGATACTCAAAAAACCCACCAGTGCCATTAAAAAAAACCCACTTATTTACAATAATGTCTTACGATCTAAGTCATCCATGATATTAATCTAGTGGTCCAGAAAGGGTTCTCGGGTTCTCAAGAATTTTTGGTTATCAAAAGATACCCAATGGAAAACCAATTACATAAAAGAGTGAAACCACCGAACCATCTACATCTACATCGAGAAAATTAGAGACTAAGGTCGTGTTTGTTTTTTGGAAAAAATTCTTTTCGACCTTTTATGTCTATGGGCGGAAAGACATTTGACAAAAATAATGTTTGTTTTTCAAAAGACAAAAGACATAAAAAAAAGTCTTTTTGTCCTCTTTTTTCTAAAGACAAAAAAATAGCTTTTGATTCTGGAAGACGTTTTAATAAGTTCTAACATATGTGATATTTCTTTTTCCACCCCAATGTCTCCATCACTATTGTCACCGCCACCGATGCCGCCACCTCCACTGCCACCACCTCCACCTCCACATCGCCACCACCTACGCCCCCACACCCCCACCACCCCTATCTCCGCCACCTCCACTACCAACAACAACACTACCATCGCCGCCACTACCAACACCAAAACTACCGGGTTTTTTTATGAAGATTTAAAAAACAAACAATTTTTATGAAGACGAAAGATAAGAAAAATAATTTTGGTCCATACTTTATTTCGTAGACATGGAAAAAAACTGAAAACATTTTACCTTTTAAAAAACAAACATCACATAAATCTTTAACTTTTTGTAAAAACATAAGGAAAATTTATTTAACTTTTTGTAAAAACATAAGGAAAATTTATGTAGTTTTGTGAATATTTAATCTACAAATTAAAATAAAAAAACAATAAAACCAATTAAAACATCTAATCAATATAAAAACGTGATTTACATTATAGTTTTTCATTATTATTTACAAGTTACAACAATATAAACAAATTAATCAAATTTCTATATAAATATATACCAAAATATGTTTTTTATATTAAAACAATGTAATATATTGTCTTTACGTAGTTCAAAATCCAAATACTACAAAACGAACATGTATACCTCATCACTTTTCGTGGCGACACCCCAACGAACGGAAGGGTACCTTTGACTCTGTTTATCGTTTTGGGAACATCACCATCACCATCACTATTTACTCCTCCCCAATCTGCAAATCGCTATCTCCTTGCCTTTCTACGATGTTGCTTTAGCCAGCCATTTACGAAAGCTTTTACCCACGTACCCAATTTCGACACTCCTACTTTCTTTTCTCCTCTATCTCTCTCTCTTTCCTCCTCTGTGTTTTCGTTTTTGTTTCATAGATCCCCATGAATTTCTTTCTCCCAAGTTGATTTCCATTTGCTAATTCCCAAACCCATAAATCAAACATGAATCTTTTAGTAACTACGTTTGTATTTGCAATTCTCTGTTGTTCATCCCTAGTTCAATCTCAAACACTCACCAATTCAACCTCTTGTCCCATAAACTACGACTACGTGCGCCGGATTCAATGGCCGACCGTCGACTGCCGTCATTCCCGTGATCCAACCAAAACCGTCACCAATTCCACCACTTGTTGTCAAACCTTGCTTAGCGTCTTCGGCATCGGCTTAGCTCAACACCTGAAAGAATCATCTCTATTTAAACTCCCAGATCTTGCTACATCCTCGTCTTGTCTCTCCGATTTTCAAATGAAACTCAACTCACTTTCCCTCCCCAATAACCTCGCTTCCTTTTGTTTTGACCCTATGCAGTTTGTCATTTCGTCGAACACCTGTGCTGCAATTCAGAACCTCCAAGATTGGCGCCGCAAGTTGGGGAATAAAACGGTTCTTGATTCGTCGTGTCAAAATGATCTCTCTGATCTTACTTCGTGTGATGATTGTGTTGCTGCTGGGTTAGCGGTTCACAAACAACTAAATTCTATGGATGGTAATTCTTCTCATTCAAGCGACTGTTTTTACTTCGTTGTTCTTTATGCTGCTGGTATTGTCAATGAGCTCGGACCTCAAAGTACTGGTGCTGTAGCTTGTACTTTCGGGATTAACTTCTTACCCAAATCCCATAAAAATACTCGTTCTTCTTTGATATATGGATTGGTTGGAGCACTTGTTGCTGTTGTAGTAATGTCTTGTTTCGTGGGGTTATACTTGTGGTGGGATAGAAAGAGGAAAAGGGAAAACACCGATGAATCAGGCACAGATGAATTCGAATCGACTCGGCCAAGAAGACGACCAAACACTGGTTCTATATGGTTCAAGTTTCACGACCTTGAAAAGGCAACCGATAACTTCTCCTCAAGCAATTTCATCGGTAGAGGTGGATTTGGGGTTGTTTATAAAGGTGTTCTCTCCGATGGGTCTGTTGTCGCTGTCAAAAAGATAATCGATTCAGAGTTTGAAGGCAACGATGACTTCTGTAACGAAGTTGAAATCATTAGCAAATTAAGGCATCGAAACCTTGTCCCACTTATCGGGTGTTGTATCCATGGCGAAGATGAAGATTACGAGAGGAGAGATGATCAAAGATTCCTTCTTTACCAATACATGTCAAATGGTAACCTTGAGGACCATTTATTCCCATCCATGAGTCGAAAACCTAAACTGACATGGCCTCAAAGAAAGAGTATAATCCTAGATGTAGCGAAAGGGTTAGCTTATCTTCACTATGGAGTAAAACCTGCAATTTATCATCGAGACATCAAAGCTACAAATATACTTCTGGATTCAAACATGAGAGCTCGAGTAGCAGATTTCGGATTAGCCAAGCAAAGTAGAGAAGGACAATCTCATCTAACCACCAGAGTCGCCGGAACCCATGGCTATTTAGCGCCGGAATATGCTCTATACGGCCAACTAACGGAAAAAGGCGACGTATACAGTTTTGGGGTTGTGATTTTGGAGATTATGTGTGGGAGAAAAGCTCTGGATTTATCTTGTTCAGATTCGCGTGGTTTCTTGATTACTGATTGGGCTTGGTCGCTTATAAAAGAAGGGAAATTAGGGCATGTTTTGGATCCTTCGTTGTTGGGAGAAGGTGAAAATTCGGAGACTATGAACCCTAGAGGGATAATGGAGAGATTTGTGCTTGTGGGAATTTTGTGTGCTCATGTAATGGTGGCTTTAAGGCCTACGATTATGGATGTATTGAAGATGTTGGAAGGAGACGTTGAAGTGCCGGTGATTCCTGATAGGCCAACGCCTCTTGGCCACCCTACTTTCACCGGAGATGGAAAATCTTTTAATATTTCGCCGGTGTTGAGTGGGCTGCAATTGCAGGCCACCGACATGCTCAGGTAGGTCAATAAACAATAAAACAAATGTTTAGAATTATAAATTGTGTTAATTTTAAACTGAATTTGGGAAAATTTAGGAAGGAATCGAGCATTAGATGTGACAAAAAGGGTTATGAAAACATGGACATTATTTTGTATTTTAGGAGTTTTATTATTTCGGGCGCGTCATGATTGGTTGAAATTTTTGTTGTTTTAGTAGCCATAATGGCTTTGGAGCAACTCTTCACGTGTAAATTGTATGTATAGTTTGGACTTATTAATAAAATTATTTTATTTTTTTTATTTTAATACTTTAATGTAGGGTTAATGACGTAGGAGGGTAATAAGATTTTAACTTTGTCCACATAAGGTCCTTAAGGTTTTTTTTTTATACATATTACACCAATATGGTTGTTATAAACTGTTTAAAAAGAATAATAAAGTTTTAATTTTGTCCATATTAGGTTCTTAAGGTCTTTTTTTGTACATATTACACCAACATGGTTGTTATAACCGTTTAAAAAAAGATAATAAGGTTTAATTGTGTCCACATTAGGTCCTTATTTTTAATATTTTTATCATTTCATCTAACATTTTTACAATTTATATTAGTATCTAGTTAGATGGCTTCATCATTTCATCTTTTCATTTTAGTCGCCCATTCACCACAACCACGATTTCAATCGAAATGTTACATAACAATTTTTTTTCATTTTTACGAAAAAAAAGCTAAAAATAATGAAAAGCTAAAAATATCGAAAAAAAAACCTCTTAATTATCGAAAAAAAAGCTAAAAATAATGAAAAGCTAAAAATATCGAAAAAAAAGCTAAAAATATCGAAAAAAAAAAAGAATGAAAATAATGAAAAGCTAAAAATGACGAAAAATGAAAAGATGAAATAATGAAAAGCTAAAAATGAAAAGATGAAATAATGATGAAGCCATTCTTTCGATATTTTATATTAGTATCTAGTTAGATGGCTTCATCATGAAATGATGAAGCCATTTCTAAAAATATCGAAAAAAAATATCGAAAAAAAAGCTAAAAATAATGAAAAATAATGAAAGTCTTAATGATTAAGACTATGTTTGGCGTCACAGCTAACTGATAAGCTAGTTTATTTTTCGATATTTTTTAAGTTGTCATGTTTGGGAAGCCAAAAAGTAGCTTATAAACTATCATTTTAAAAAGCTACTTAGACTAGTTTTTTAAAAGTTTTTTTTTAATTTCCAAATATACCTCTTAATTAATTAAGAAAACATATTTTTTAAATGTCATTTTATGTCATTATATAAATTCCGGATAGCTTATAAGCCAGTGGCAGAGCTAGAGTCAAAGTAAAAGAGTATCCCGACAAGTAATGAGGTATCCCCGATAAGTAATTGTACAAAAAAATTGTAAAAGAGTTGGATGAAATAATGAAGTCATCTAACTAGATACTAATATAAATTGTAAAAGAGTTAGATGAAATGATAAACATATTAAAATAGGAACCTAATGTGGACACAATTAAACCTTATTACATTTCTTTAAACGGTTATAACAACCATGTTGGTGTAATATGTACAAAAAAAGACGTTAGGGACCTATTGTGGACAAAATTAAAACATTATTACCTTTTTTTAAACGGTTATAACAACCATGTTTGTGTAATATGTACAAACAAAAACATTAAGGACCTAATGTAAACAAAGTTAAAACCTTATTGCCCTCCTAAGTCATTAACCCTTTAATGTATCAAAGGAATTTGGATTCTGGTGTGATGGAGTATTTCTTCTTCGATTCTGTATTTTTTTTTTTTTTTTTGTTAGAACGTTTTTGTTTTGAATGATAAGAAGTAGAAATTTGTAACCCCCAAATTTGGTGAGTCGGCGTAGCAAAATGGCAAACTGTCGGTCGATAGGAGCTGTTCACCGGCAACATGGTGTTTTGCCGGCCGATTAAAGATGCCCTTGGACTTGGAGTGCCTTGTATAACTTCAATAAAAAATCTAGTGGGATAAGTTAATGTAAGCTATGATTAATTTTTTAGAACGATCTTGTATAACATATTTTTTTAGCGAAAATTACACTAATGGTCATTGTGATTTGTTGTTCATTTTTTTATGCACAAATCATGATTTAACTATGTTTTGTTGCACATTACGTCCTTTTGACAGACGAAGTCAATGAGGGGTTGTTAACCCTCACCTGCCCTAGACTTGAGGGAAAATTTGTCCACGTAAGTTATCTCATATGTTAATCGTTTGGATGTTTTTTATACTTATATAATAGAATAGAATTTGTTTCCTTTGGGTGATTTGAATTTAAGACATTGTATCATATAAACATACTATGTTATCTACTTATTTAAAGGTGTAAAGACAGAGAGGAAGAAAGAACATTTAGGCTATGTTTGGCGTATTAATTGAAAAGTTAGCTGTTAGCTGAAAAGCTAATTGTTAAATAAAAAGCTAGCTGATAGCTGAAAAGTTAACTGATAAAAAATGAAATTTGATAAAAATCAGCTGAAATATATAAAATTACATAAAATGACATTTAAGAGTATGTGTTTCTATAATAAAGTAAGAAGTATATTTGAAATTAAAAAAAAAATCCTAAAAAACTAGTCTAAGTAGCTTTTCAAAAAAACCTAGTTTATAAGCTGTTTTTTGGCTTGCCAAACATGACAACATAAAAAAAAACTCAAAAAATAAATTGGCTTATCAACTAGCTGTGACGCGCCAAACACAGGCTTAGTTTTACGTGAGATGATTTAATACAAAGTAGTTGTTATTAGTAATTTCTTTTTTTCGTTTTGATTAGTTTAGATGTGGCCAATGAGGTTTTAATCACTTGAAGACCATAATGTTTTTATTGAACAGTGAAGTGTAGATCAGTAGCAACCCCCTCTAGCTAAGTAAAAAAATAGAGAATTACTAATGTAGCAATTTTTCCTAATTAACTATACAAAAATTAGTAATTGTCCAAAAATAGCCCGCCAAAACCGTAGGTAATTAGAGTGTGATACTGTTTTGCCAAAGCGTCTACTATTTCGGGTTAACTATAAAAAAAATTCTTTTTTTTCATTTCGAAAATCTAAAACCGTAGGTTCTTTTATAACCTACAGTTTCCTCCCGACGAACTACGGTTTTCCAAACCGTAGTCTACGGTTCTGGGTAAAAAGTCTACGGTTTTAATATATATATATATATATATATATATATATATATATATATGGAGAGTAGTTTTACAAAAAAATATTTTTAACAAAATAATTGTCAAAAAACTACTCTACATTTTACAAACAATATTTTTTATCAAAATAATTCTCAAAAAACTACTCTCCATTTATTTAAATAAAAAATTAAAAAATTAAAAAAATTAAAACCGTAGACTTTTTACCCAGAACCATAGACTACTGTTTGGGAAACCGTAGTTCGTCGAGAGGAAACCGTAGGTTATAAAATAGCCTACGGTTTTAGATTTTCGAAATGAAAAAAAAAATTATAGTTAACCCGAAACAATATACAATTTGGCGAAACAATAGCCCATTGCCCTGAAACTGTAGATTTCCCCCTTTGACCGTAGTCAACAACGTGACATCCCCAAATTTATCGGCCAGAAAAGAGCGATTTAGTTTATGCTTTTAAAATAAAATCAGAATAATCTTCCAAAAGATGTTGCGGAATTTGTTCCAAAAACAAAATATAATAAAAATTTATCAAAGCATTTCTTAAAGAAATGTATTTTCTTTATATAACAAAACATCGGGATGTCATGTTCCGATACAGACCAAAAGCATAAATAGTACATTATAAGCCTTACAACAGATAGTTACATCTACTAGCCTATAATCCAAAAATCATTCGTCATCATCCCAATTATGCTATGGGTCCACTACCTGTAATATAAAAAACTAAGTGGGTCAGGCTTGGGAGTCTGATGAGCATATAGGGTTTTCAACCCACAAATAATAATAAATTTATTAATTTCATCAACCAATAATAAATTTATTAATTTCATCAACCAACAATAACCATGATTACCCGTTCCCGTTATCCTCACTTTACGTCCCTAAATACCTATCATAAGGGACCTAGTTTAAGAATTTTCATCGGGGTGACAACACTGATTTAGCGGATTCCTCAGCAATTTATGTCAAATAAGGCAACCATGTGGGGGATAGAGTATATCATTGAACACTAAGTTCACAAATACCTACAGGTTGCGAGCATGCTAGCGTTCCACTGGACTGTCTAGAAAGGTTCGTGGTCGTCATCTATACTCCGCTAGATGACTGAAACAACAACAATATCGAGGTCTCTCATCATTTTAATACACATCAACTATTTATCTACCCATGTTTTACCCAACATATTTGTAGATAAAAATACATATACAATTTAAAACTTGTATAAAACATCTATTCAACACTCATCTCAAATAAACAAACAATATAATTACACAACATGTATTTTATAGAAAATACTTCATATCTATGTGTAAGATGAAAGTGACTATACACTCACTTGATTTATCGATAATCGGGCAACACTTCCTTTCTTAAAACGATCGTTTCCGATAAAACCGGGATGTTTTCCCAAAAATCGGGCTTCACGCGGGCAGAGTTTCGTCTCGAAAAACTCTTTTCTCAGGATCTTTGGGCTCTCCGGGACTTGCGCATGATGCTAGGATGATATAATAGGCTTGGGGTATTTATTGTAAAAAAAAGGAAAGTGGAGGGTGAGAGGAGTGAAAATTTGTAACATAAATACGGTTGGCTTCGATCACTATTTATAAGGGACCGAAGCACCTAATTACGTTGGACGTAATTCTTCGGTACGCGGGGCGTACTGCCTCACACATCTCTTCGTTGGGCGTAACTTTGTACGCTGGGCATACGAAGGGATCATATCGGACGCGTCAAGGCTATGACACGTGTCTCTCATGCAAAGGAGTAGGGGAGGTGACTGACTCTGGAACACTTACACGAGTACGCTGGGCGTACTATGAATTTTCAAACTTCAAAATTTCGTAACTTTCGCATACGAGCTCCGTTTTTTACGTTCTTTATATACACGCGTAGGTGAGACCGTGCTCTACAACTTTCATTAAGACCCCGTCGGCTAATTTTGACTTTATTTTTAACAGGTCGGGACAGGAAAAACCCGTTAAAAATTCATAATTTTTTCATCCGACGTCCGTTTTCGTCTGTCTTTTTACCGTTGAACTACTATCAACAAGATCTTCGATTCTTGTTTAGGTTGTTTCGGCTAAAAATCACTCGATCTAAAATTCGAGTTTCAGGCTTCATACTGCTAAGTCGAAACTTAGAAAAATCATAAATTCCTCATACGAAGTCAGATTTGGGCGTTCTTTTTACGCACGCTCTCGGTTTAACGAACACTACGACTTTCGTTTAGATCACTAATGCTAAAAAGAACTTTATCGTAAATTCACTTTTTACGTCACACAGCGTCATGCCGGTTCTGTCGCGAAACTTCGACAGGTCATAATTTCTTCGTTATAACTCGGATTTCGGTATTCTTTATATCTCCGGAATCCTTGTTTCAACCACTACAACTTTCTTCATAGATATCGGGTTCATTTAATATTTATTTTCGACGTTTATTTTTTATCCTTAACTTATTAAATCATAATAATTAAGCATAAAACACATAATAATCAAATAATACAACTTATTATTTCAAAACAAGTTACAAATGTTGGCCTAGACTATTACATCATCATTAATGTCTAGCCTAGAAACACGGACGTTACATCAACGCTCGTTGATCGTAGTCAACTCTGAACGAACTACTCTTTTGTGGGCTATTTTTGGCTAATGTGTTTTTTCGGCTATTTTTGGATAGGTAATTAGGTAAAATGGCTAGTTTAGTCATTTCCTAAAAAAAATATCAAATGTGAATTTATTTCATGTTGTATATATAATGGAATTTAAATATGATTATGCAAACCATTATTAGAATTATTTATTTCACAAAAATATAAAAATTTGATACGGTGGAACTTAAAATCTGAAACTAAAACAACATAAAAGAACAATATTATTAAATATATTAATTGTAAGGCATCTTTGTGAAAAGTTTTTCATTGTCATTGGTTGTTTTTTTTTCTGCAATATTCGTTTTTCCACAAGATTTTTTTTAATATTATTAAATATTTTCTGCACTTAAAGGGCATCGTCTGTATAGTCCAATAAAAATGGGTTTGGTGTCCATACACGTGTTCCTTTTTCCATCGATTGAAACTAAAATCGGATTGTTCCCCACCGCCTCCTCACCCTATCAGTACACACATTTCCCTCTATTCATCCACACTGCCTCCTCACCCTATCAGTACACACATTTCTCTCTATTCATCCACAGTTTTCCCACCACCGCTTCTTACATCGATTTCTAGAAGAACACATTTTCTTTATATCTTTTGATCCGTCTCTTCGCCACAACGTCACCAACATCGAAGAACGACCACCCCACTCCCTAAAACGACGCAGTCCAACACCGTCGCCCCCCCCCCCCCCCCCCCCCCCCCCCCCCCCCCCCCCCCCCTTCCTCCTCTGCTACCAACGCTCCTGGATTTCCCGTCATTGGGTTACTTTAGATGTGCTCTATAAAATTTTTTCTTATTCTCTAGGGTTTTTTTGTCTGTCTTAACTGTTAAGATCGACACCACCACCAAAGCACCATCGAAGCACCTCACCACCACCGCAACAGTCATCGCCTGCACAAACCATAGCCTTAGCAACTGAGTAGCGCGACAACCCCTTTTGGTGGACGTGCGGTTAACGGGATTCAACTATGACCACAGTAACAATGGATGGATCGTTTCTTTTCCAGGTAATGAGTATCTAGAATTTAGTGATTTTTATTTCGATTTAAGCTTTCTCCTAAAACACAAATCAAACTCTGATTTTTTTACCCCACATCTAATTTCATCAGGACCTAATATCTAATGTTTTAGGTTTTGGTTGCATTTTTTTTGTGATTAGTGGTTTTGCAGCTACCCCATACGTGAGCACTTACCAAATGACTACCAAATGATGAATATATTTTAAATTCTGAAGGCAGATTGTGATTTCTGTAAAAGATGTTTTTATTTGATATAGGATGTAGATGGTGCAACTCCAAAGGTAGGTCGAAAATCAGTGATGTATCTCACTCAATGTGCCTAATATGAGGTGATGATCATAAATACTTTTCATTTGATATTTTCACACTCAAGAATTATTTCTTAAAATCCACTAGATTTTGGTGTGCGATTGCTGGGCCGACTCTAAAACGTATAATGTTTTTTTGGCAAAATTGTCCTCAATATTTGTATTGGTTCGTCATAGGCGCTAAACAAGAAGAAATTGACAGGATCTGGCACCTATCATAGAAGAAAATAAGTGATTGTCGCGTCACAATTTTCCAGACACACACCATTACGCAATTGTTATTCATCGACTATAAATGGTAATTTTATTAAATAATTTCTTAGTTTCTTAAGCACAGGTACAGAAGAAATGATTTTCTCTATTTCTTTTTGGTCTTTTAGATTTTACTTCTCGCTTAATTCTTTAGTTATAAATGATAAATCATTTGAATGATTGCTGAAGCAGCAGCCTAGACCCAGTGAATCTGAGTTCGAAGTTCCAAGGATTTGAGTTTTGAGACTCCAGGTGATTTCTTTAATATTCAAATATTATACTATTTTAATCGAATTACCATTTTTTACATAACGTTCATTACATTTTCCATCTTTTCAAATGCTCTTTTAAATATGATACTTCATTTTGAATGGGTTACTACAGAAGTCACAAGTGACCGGTTCTTATCAATTTGATTGTGTGGTTGGCTTCACAACCACACTCTAACAGGTACTTCGTTCTCTTCTTTTTATATTTTAATTTTCTAACAAAGATGAGTGGAGGAAACTAATGGTGAAATGAACCGATTTCCTAGGCTTTTTTAAGGGGAATCCAAATGAGTAAAACTCCCATTCAACTTGACCACACTCTAATAGGTACTTGATTATCTTCCTTTTATATTTTAATTTTTTAAGAGAGAGGAGATGAGGAAACTAATGGGTGAAATCAACCAAATTCTTATGGTTTCTTTTCAACTGGAATCCAAATAAGTAAAACTCTCAAAATTTGGAATTATATTTTCTACTTCTCCATAAATCAGCAACGTTAAAAGGGAAAGTTCTTTGAATATGTTAATAGAAACCATAAAGATTTTCATGAAATTTCTTGAAATTCCACAAATGACATTGCTCTCTTTTAATAAAAAGAATTTAAGCAAGTAAGTTTAAATCATGTATTATTACTATTAATTACTAATTAAAAAACAATTATTAGATTTGAATGAAAATTAGACATATGACTATACTTAAAAACCAATCATTTAAGTGTAGGAGGTTTGGTGATTAAGTGGGTGTGAAAGAGAAGACTTACCAGTGAAAAGGGAATAGTGTGGATGTTTACATGTACAACAATGCCTGTGGAGCTGTAGGTTATTTGATTGCATGTTTGGGTCATCTCAAACAATCTTGAAGGTAATCATCGGTTTCTTTTTTAGTCCAAACCATATGGGTGTTTTACAACTTCTTAACCTCTTTATATTTTTTGCAGGTGGTATGAAGATAGAAAAGATTTCTCTAAGAATAATTGATAGCTTGAGTTTATTTAACTTTTCAAGCTCACTTAGAAAACCAGGATACTTTACATTATAGCACAAAGGGTGATAAAGCTTCCTAAAAGATTTGGGGTTCAGTTGCATATGATGATGATCTAATGGCTGCCAACACATCCCTAGAATTTTATTTTAATGATGGCAGTTGTCATAGTTTCTTGGATTTATTTCTGGTGCGTTTATGCTCTAGGTGGATGATTATGTTCAAGATCGTTGGTAGGAAATTTTACAATATGGTGACTATTTTGCCCCTGATTAGTGTTTTTAGGTGTGGTGCTGTTTTCGTGCTTGGTGTGCGAGGATTTCGTCTCTTTTCATCCGCCTTCATTTATGCTGGTTGTCTATGCTCCCAAGGTTGCTGATGCAAGAAATGTCAATATACTTTCAATTATTTGTTTGCTATTATTTTTTTAATGATTATTAAAAAAAGGATTTCTCCTTCTATTCAACTACCTTGAGTTATTTATGATTAATAAATTCAAATATTTTAGTAAACAAACAATACAAAGTCAATAAAAAAATATTCTTTTGCTTAATATTTTTCCTTTCTTTCTTATAAACAGAAGGATCCTACCGACCATTGATCTTGTAGGCAAGCATGCTTTGTTTGGGGTAAGTTTTATTTGGATTTTCACAATTTCATGTTCTTTATTCATAAACATGCTAATTATTTAATTATTAATTTTTTTTTGTAGATTTTCTATTTTGTTGGATTTGGATTAGAAAGAATGGGTGATGTAGATGCAAAACAATGAGTTAAAAGATGTTGCATAAGTGAAAACGAAGTAGAGGTCTAAAAGAAAGAAATAATAACATCCCCACTTCTCATCTCTTTCTAATACAATATAGCTTTTTTCAAAAAAAAATTTCTTATAAAGGCATTGTACTTTGTACAACTACCTGATTTTAGCATCATATTTTCCTTTTTTTTTTTTTTGCTTATTATGTCATAATGAGCAAGAATTTCGGTTATTTTTCATCTTGATACAAATGTTCATATTTTGACTAAATTGCAGGTTACAGTAACATCTTGATTATATTTCTTTTAACTTTTTTTTTTCTCATCAACCCATTGTATTTGGGTCCTAATTATGTATCATTGATGTTTTATGATAAAAAAAAATTATAGCTTTCATTGTTTCTTTCAAAGCTAACACCATATTTGATAAATTTGTCACTTTGATGAAAGAGAAAATGACAATCTCCTTTAATAGATCATTAGATTTTGAATTATTGTATAGATGAATGGTTGCCATTGTTTCATTTTGGATTTTTAGAGGCATGCCGCTAAGCATATAACATCAGGCAACACACTCATTCAAACATGTCGTTTTCTTTGGCGTATCCAACCCCGCAATGCGGAATTCTTCCCTAGTTAAGATTAATGTACTACAAAGAAAATATATGCTTAGATAAATTAAATCAATTATTATATTTAATTTAATAAAACCAGATGTGTTATTTAAAATTCAATCTAAAAAATATATAAAAATACATTATTATTAATCAAATTTCATATATGACGATATTAACTGAATCTTCATAATACAAATAAATGAAGTTTTTTAGCATAATGTTTAAACATATATTTCATGATAAAATAAAAATGTTAATATTCAAAACCATTTTTTTACACTTATGGTAAAAGTAATCAAATGATGCATATTCAATTTGTTATATATAGGGTGTAAGTGAGTCAAGCTACTCGTGAGCAATTCGGGATCGACTCGTTAAAAACTCGACTCGAGATTAAATTAAACGAGTCTGAGCCGAGTTCAAGCCTAAATACGAGGCTCATTTATTAAAATAGCTCGAGTCGAGCTCAAACCAATGTGCCCGCGAGCCTAAACGAGCCTATATATAATGTATATTATTATTATTATTATTATTATTATTATTATTTTTATATATTAAAATAAAAATATATTTGAGGAATTAGGGATGTAAGGTATTAGTAAATGAGTTTTTTAACGAGCTTGAACCGAGCCTAAACTTATTTTGGCTCATCATACAAAAAATAAGTCGATCTTGAGCCCGAGCCGAGCCTGTACAATTATTTAGGAGCTCAAACCGAGCTCGATGCAATAAATCTCAAATCGAGCCGAGCTTGAGCTTGATCCCCTCATGACTTAAACAAGCCCGAACCGAGCCTGGCTAAACTCGGGTTCGGCTCGACTCGTTTACAAGTATATATATATATATATATATATATATATATATATATATATATATATATATATATATATATATATATATATATATAAGGGTGAGATCCATTGAGAACTCATAGTTTCCCGAGAACCTGAGAACTAAATGTGGAGCGTTAGATCAAAATTAACTCATTAAGGGCATGATCGTCATCTTACCGATCACATTTAATGTTTAATTTTTTTTGTTATTGGAAATATTAATAAAAAGTTTTAAAAATTAACATAAAAAATAAAAATTCGGATTTTTTTAAAATAAATTTTCCATTTTTTTTAAAAAAATGGAGATTTTTTTTTTCAGAAAACAAGAATTTTTAAATAAAAATGAAAAAATATCCTTTTAAAACAATCGCAATTTTTTCAAAAAAACTGTATTTTTTTCCAAAAAAAGCTGTAATTTTTTCAAAAAATCTGCATTTTTTCAAAAATAATGCATTTTTCCAAAAAAAAACTGGAATTTTTTTTTTAAAAAAAAACTGCAATTATTTTTAAAAAACTGTATTTTTTCAAAAAAAAAACTACAATCTTTTTTAAAAACCGTATTAAAAAAGACTACAAATATTTTTAAAAAACTGCATTTTTTAAAAAAATTTAAAAATCACTAAATTTAAAAAAAAAACTAGAATATTAAAGAAAACTATAATTTTTTTGACAAAAAAAAATTTAACATTTTAGGTGCATATATGCATTTTTTTCCTTTTCAGATTCTTATATGTATATTTCTTATACTATAATATTCGTAAGTAAGTCATAAAAAATCTCATTTTCATTAATCAATCTAAAAACATAATACTACAAGTATTTTATTCCATACAAAATAAAAAATATATAAAAAAAACTACAAAGATTCACAGTGTTATCATTTCTTCATATCAAGATTTTCATATTTTCTTCAATTTATCACTTTTCACATTTTCAATATTTTCCACAAATTCTTCAAAATCTACAAGAAAATTAAAAAAATTGATTAATGCAAGAACACTCACAAAAATGCACATGTATATATCATGTAAGATTCACATGTAATTCATATGTGAAGTACATGTGATTTACATGTGAATCACATGTAATTTATACGTGAATTACATGTTATTTACATGTGAATCACATGTAATTCATATGTGATTCACTTGTGATTTACATGTGAATCACAAGTGAATCATATGTGAATTACATGTGATTTACATGTGAATCACATGTAATTCATATGTGAATTACATGTGATTTACATGTGAATCACATGTAATTCATATGTGAATTACATGTTATTTACATGTAAATCACATGTAATTCTTATGTGATTCACTTGTGATCTACATGTGAATCACATGTAATTCATATGTGAATCAATTGTGATTCATATGTGTCACAACTAGCATTTTAGCTAGGAAAATTCTATTCTCATGAAATCATTCAACTATTGTAAAGCATGTACTCTAAGTGAATATCAATCAATGCTCATTTAAATACATCTCTCATGTTCAACAAAGAGTTTGAAACTCTAAATATTCCGGATTAAGTCTATTATGGTCTAGGACATTCTTATTGGGCCTAATGGACCAATAAGTATCCAAGTTGACTATTTTGGGCCTAGAAAACCCTAAATGGGCTCTAAACGGACCCACATACATAAAACTCAACATTTTGGACCATTTGGGCCTAGAATGATTCATTCTAACCATTAATGGTCCTTATTGGGCCATAATTTATCCAATTAACCCTAATGGACCATAAACCCATTCCCTTATACTTTATTGGGCCGTGGATGTTTACAAGGGCCCAATGGGCTGAAAACCATTATTGGGCTCCTTGAATTCGAACCAACCTTAGAATGGGCCCACATTATCTCATTCTTATTCCTCCTAACCCAAAAACTCTCGGCCCAACATCACTTAACAAAAAAAAAATTGTATGGGGAAAAGGTTACACCTCATTTTTACATATAGGATTTCTATACAAATTATACCTCATGTATCTAAATCATGCATCCTAATCCATCATGCAATAACCTACTTGGAAAACCCCCTCTCTCTTCTTATTCCTCTCGGCCGAGAGCAACAAACACACACATATTCAAACTTCTCCTTCAAACTCTCTCTAATATCTCAAGAACACCTTCCTTCTTCCACCAAAATCTCGTGACTTGGGTTGTGCTTCAAGAATCTTCATCAAGTTTTCAACCTTTGGTAAGTTGTTATTAAACACAAACATCTACTTTCCATCTTAATATTAAGAACTCCTTCTTACATAGCTTTACTTCATGATCTAACTCCATAGAACACCTCTAAGTTCGAAAATCCACTCAAGGAGCTTGCTAGAGCCAAAAATCACATCATCTTCTTATATTTCTTCTTCAAAACCGAAACATCAAGCAAAGGTGAGTTCATACCCCCTTGTTTTCAGTTTTTACATGATTTTTGGGGGAGAATACAAGTAAAATGTGTAGATCTATGTGTTTTATGCATGTCATGTGTGATTTCTTAATTTATTTTGCAAAAATGTGTTAGATCTTAACACATCTCGACATCTTAAGCAACATTGAGTAAAGATCCATGAACTAAGACACCTTATACATCATATTATCAAGTTAAAAGTATTTACATGTTTAAGATATGAAAATTTAAAGCAAAAATCTTGTTAAGGGCCATATTTGTCAAGAAAACAAAAGATAAGGGCAAAAAGTGACATTTACGGTTTTATAAGGATCAAACAGATCATACTTATATAAAAATGGGTTTTTATGATAACCCTACTTTTCAAAGGATCAAAAGTGTAAATTTTAGTCTAATGGGCTTAATATTTGGGCCTCACGGTTTTAGGCCCAAATTTGCGAAAAAATAAGAGTTTTGGAGTTAAAAATGTCGTTTGATCAAAGTTTGAGACATAAATGTAAATAAACCAAATTTAGGAGTGAAAATAACATTTATTTCTAAATTGGGCTAAAAATGCAAAGTTTTTGGAATTTGGGCCAAAAATGTAAAATTCACGAAAAATGGGTCAAAAATGTAATTTTCTACAAAAATGGGCTGAAAACGCAAATACATGTATTTTTGGGTCAATTCGGTCAATTATTAAACATTTGGGCCGAAAATATAGAACTTTTATAAATTAATGGGCTAAAATGTTATTTTTAACTAAAATAGTCCAAAAATGACATTTTTGTGAAATAAGCCTTTAAATATCTCAAATTAGTTTTTAAGAGGTTTAAAGCGCAAGTTTTATTAAAATTAAGTTCAAATTATAGAATTACGACTTAACAAACTATACTTATAACGAACAAACGAAATACAACAATGGTGTAATTATTGGGCCTAGTAATTGCTATACATGTTTTTGGGCCTTCGTGGTCCAATTACACGTTTATTGGGCCCAATGTATTCATCACATGTCTATTGGGCCTAAGTGACCCAATTACATGCTAAATGGGCCTAATTTAACATTTACATGTTATTGGCCCTTAGTGGCCCATTTACATGCTAATTTAGCCTGGAAATAACTTACATGACTAATGGGCCATAGTTGCCTTTTCTTCATGTCTGTTGGGCCTTGTCTTATCATTTCAAACATTATCTAATGATCGAACTTCTAAATACATTTAACATTATACAAATTCATGTGAATACAAAATGGGATCTAGTGAGACGTGTCGGTTGACACCACTGAGTGTATGGCCGTAGCTTGTAGTTATAATCAGAGTCTCCTGGAGGGAGAGCGAGAGTTTGTGTATAGATCTATACGGGGGTGACTCCCCCACACCTGAGTTGTTCGCTACAGTTAGACTAGGTCAGTCTAGGGTGACAAAACCTTGAACGAAAATCCGGCATTTGGAAAAATGTTAAGACAGGCAAATCAGTCACTATCATG